TTTTGCTTATGCTAAGGCTGTGAATAAAAGTTTAAATAAAATAAGTTTTTTATCTGAGCCTTTATTATTCAGGTTACAGCTTCAAAAACTTCATACAATTAGAGAATTTCGAGTTAAACACCACATAATCAAACTTGTGGAACAATATTCTCAGAAAACTCTTATAAGTTGTGCAAAAGAAATTGCAACAACACTTAAACAAGGATTTGGTCAAACTAGTGAACTTATATATAACACATAAGACTCTATTTTATTAAAGTTATTCGAATATACTATAAATATCAAAATTATTATTTTGATATTAGAAACGAAAATCCTATACAAAAACAAGCAGAAATCTTAAATATAATTAAAGTAATAGATTTAAGTTTTATCTTGCAGAATGCATATAGAGACTTGACTGCAATAAATTTTCACCTACCACGTGAATATATTATTGTAAATGAATGAAATAAGTTAACACAAGAGATGATTGATAAGATTTTAATTAAGCTTATAAATATGAATAAGGCAATAAACAATACTAATATTGATTTAGATAATGAAAAACTCGATTATATCAATATAGATACCATTAATGAAGTTAGTAGATCTGAATTTATAGGTAAACAATGTGATTTTAAAGAACTCTTTTGATATATAATTCCTTATTTAATACAAGAAAATGTTTTGTCCATTGATGATCCAACACTTCATATATGAATTTCTAAAGATGGTCGTAATGTGGGTCGAAAGGTAAAACATGTTATGATAATATTCATGATTCTTAATAATATAAAGAATCATCATATACCTAATTATCATTATACTATCATTTTATATCCTAGAGTTGAAAAATACGAGCCACTTGAGTCTATATTAAATCTATTGATTAATGATCTTAGAGATCTTAAAAATAATGAATTAAACATCACAAACACTCTTTGGCATTTTGGATTATATTTTAGTAGCGATTGGAAATTTCTTGCTATTTGTCTTGGGCTAAATTCTGCAAATTCGAACCATTTTTGTGCTTGGTGTCTTTGCTCTAAATATGAAATTAGTGATATTAAACAAGATTGGCAAATTACAAAATTGATGAATAATTTAAAAAACAACTATTCTAATATTCCTGGTCATATGAAAGCACTGTTATTTGATATGATTTCATTATCTAATTATGTATTTGATGAGTTACATGCATTATTAAGAATTGAAGATTGACTTTGGACATTAGTATTATTAAAACTCAAGAAGAGAAATTTATTTAATGATATTAGCCGAAAAATAATTATAAATGAAATGAATCAGATTGATATTAAATTTCATTTTTGGGAAGAATTAAACATATAGAAATATACGTTATTAACAGGTGATGATAAAATTAAAGTATTAAAATACTTTAATTTGGATACTCTTTTTTGTTCAAGTTGAGCCCAATTAATTCAGTCTTTGTGGAATAAATTTATCGATTTGTATAAGGTAATATGTGATCAAAATAGTGATTCTTTATATTTAAAACACTTAGCACTCGAATAGTTAAACCTTTTTCTAAAACCTGATAAGAAGAATTTGAATAATCCACACAATATTACCAAAGGTCTTTATTTGCCAAGTCAGGTGACCCTCTATATGCATTTTTTAGTATTTCATGGGTGGGAACTATATCAAAAACATAAGTGATAGGGGCTAAAAGCATTTTCATGTAATGCTGTGAAAAAAAAAATCATACACAGGTATCTTATTTTTTTTGAAAATCTACTATGAATGATAGGCTTAAAAATAAGGCAGCAACAGTTAAAATTTTAGAAGATGAGTCTCGAAATCTTTTTTTTGCTTATAATGATTTTTTTGAGCAACCAAAAATCAAAAAACTTCGTATCGAATAATTGTAAAAAAAAATTAATTATAAAATTATATACTGTAAAACATTAATAGTATGTTTGGGTGTTTACTATACATTGTGAAAGTTAAATCGTCCACCTTGGTGGTCTTGATTCATTAAAAATTCATGCCTTATCATCACTATTTTTGTTCCTATAACTTTCGTAAAACTAATATGTACTGTATTAATAAGCAGATCCTTTATATATATATAAATCAAAGTGATTGAGTTTGTAATTGAGTTTGTGATGACATCATTATACTCATTGTTAAAATATTGATCACTGAAAGAGTTCTCATAATTTATATCTTGTAACCCACTTTAGAACAATTTTGAATGCTATAGTAAAAAACTATAGTAATAAAAAAATAAGTATTATCAAGAATTTAGAGCCAACCTAGTAACCTAAAAATACTTAGAAATAAGCTTCCACAATATCTAAGAACCTTAAACCTCAGACCAAGTATCTTCACATTTTGATCGAAGCCTACTCTAAGGTTTTGATGTATTGTATAGTTAAGTATGTATGCTCTAAAATCATCTTTAAATAAAGAATACATAAATATACATTCTATTATATAATAAATGTCTAATAACTATAAAATGAGTTTTCTTATTTTTCATCAGATTCTTATGAAGTTAAACTTAACATAATTAATAGAAGCTCTTTCATATAATGATAAATATATACCAAGTTAGGTTAAAATGATTGGTCAACAGAGTAACAAAGCCAATATTATTGTGGGCTATTAGTTATAATGTATCTTATATGAGCACGTAAAATGATTGTGCTGAAAAATGACAAAAAATGTAGTAATTCATAATATCATTATTTTTAATGACCTATTAAATAGGTATATTAGTAATTCTTGGTAAGTAAATCTAGTCACTTTTGGTTTTGCTATTGCCTGCTTTGCATCATTAGGCTGGCTCTTTTCTTACCCACCCATCTGAGTATATGAACATATTAAGTAAAATATGTTTTCAAGAAAAAAAGAATGAAAACATGTGTCATGTTATTAATATAAGTAATTGTATTTATTCTTAAGTTATTAATGAATATGTTGAAAATACTAATAATTGCTTTTTTGTTTTGTTTGAGTATATTTGGGTTAATAATTAATAACACAATCAATTAAGATTTTGGGCATGTAATTTGGTTTTGGGCATTGCAAGATTTCACAGATATATAATAGCGCAAGAACTTTATTAGCTTTTAGTGACCCAATACTAGTATTTTAGTTAATAAATTAAAGGCTCTGCAGCTGTTTTTTCTTTATAGTGCAAAGATCTTTCAATTTCAGTTCTATTTGAAAGCAAGTATTTTATAGAGATTGTTCAATTGAAGATTATCAGATTTGGTAACCATATTGGTGATATTAAGGTTCTACAGCTGTTTTTTCTTTACAATGCAAAGACTTTTCAATTGAAAATCACCAAACTTAATAACCACATTGGTGATATAAAGGCTTTACGACTGCATAGCAGTGCAAAGACAATAG